ATTCCGATAATGAATTATCTATTGATGAACTTGCTTGTGCATATGAAAGATTATCTCATGCCTATACAAAATTGCAAAATAGTTTTATTGATCTTAAAAGCAAGCATGTAGAATTAAAATCCGATCATGAGTTGCTAGTGTCCAAATTTGATATCATTGTAAAAGAAAATATTGTGCTTAAAGAAAACAATGATATGTTAAATTTGAAAAATAAAAAATTAACCTCATCCATCACTAGCTTATCTCATGTTAAAGATAATGCCATGTTAGAAGTAGAGAACATACAAAATGGTACCGTTTCTTTTATAAATAACAATATATGTTCTACTTCTAATAACAATACTTGTATGCATAATGATGAGTTGAATCATGTTAAGGATCACATATCATCTTTAGATTCAACCTTTAAAATATGTATTGTTAATCATGATAAGCTTATGAACATGTGTGCTAAGTCTCATGCTACTACACCTAAACATATCACACATCATGCACACATGTATAACAAAATTTATAAGTGCTCTACGTTTTGCTATGATAAATCTAAAAATAGTAATATCAATGCTTCTTGTGCATCTCATAAGGCTTCTTCATCACACACACATGTACATGCACACACTCATAAAGTTCATCATAAGCATGCTCATGTGTATAGATGTGATCATTGTGGTAGATTTGGTCATTTGGCCAAATTTTGTTTTAATTTAAAGAGAGTTTCATATTTGCAAAATAATTTTAAAAGACCAACTTTATTTGCAAACGTTCCTCGTGCACATCCACATGGTCAACATAACCAAATGCATCCTCTTTATTGCACTTATTGCAATCGAATGGGTCATTTGCATAATTATTGCTATGACCGGACTCGTGCACTAAATGCGCCCAAATGGGTTCATAACCCAAGGGCTTTGAGCTTTATTGATAGGGGTCATGTCCCTAAACCTTTTGGTACCAAGAATACTTGGGTACCAAAACAAATTTGATTTTAAAACAAGAGTTTTAGTATTTTTATTTTTTCTTTTTCTTGGTGTTGAAAAATGTGTTTTAAACTTTTATGAAAACAATTCCTTTTATTGGTCAAATTCCTTTGTTTTCATAATTCCTAGTTTTGATTTTGATGAGAGGTTTGTAATTATATAACCCTCCGGGTTTATTGGGTGTCTATTCCTAAATCATGTTTACCGGATGCTAGAATGATTATATGGGTTGGAACAAGCTTAAGAGCTTAATATATTGTTGCCTCTCTTAAAAATTCTTTTGTTAAAGATTTTTGTTTTGATTGATTGCTTTTGAATTCATTATAATTCACTTATATGATGATATTTATGTGTTTGTGCTAATGGATCATCTATTCGTGCTTTATAATGTATTCTATGAGTGGTTTGATCAAGTTATGTAAGGAAAATTTTTTCAAACATTGATATAAATTTTGATTTATGATTTCTTTTGGTTGATTTGTTTTCATTTGAAAACTTTTTGCATGACTCTCATGTTCCTCTTCTTTGATTTCATAAATCTATTCTTTTATATGGTTTCTATACTTTTTGTGCTAATGAGACACTTCTTTCACATTGATATATTCATATGTGTTCTCATTATCTTTTTCGTATGTGAGGAGTGCTTAGCATATTCATCTATGCTTGCTCACATATGTTTGCCATGATCTTCATTTCGTATATTCTATATGGCTTTTTGAAAGGGGGAGCTATTCCCTATATTTGCTTTATACTCACCTATGCTTATTGATAGGGGGAGCTTTCGCTCTCTTAATTCTTTTGTCCCCTTTTTGATGTTGTCAAAGGGGGAGAAATATTGTGAGTATATCTATCTTGGTTGTTTATATGCATGTGAGTTATTATCTTGTATATGTTCATTTACTTCATGCATATACTTCTTTTTGTAAATTGTTTGTCATCATCAAAAAGGGGGAGATTGTTGGCCTTCTTGTTTTGATGATGTTTAACAAACAATTTACCACTAATGTTGTTTGTCTAGTATTTGTGTTTTCTTATTTATTGTAGACAAACAACGTTGTTGGAGGATGGATGGATTGCGCCATAACGACGATATCAAATGGAGGTTGGCGGAATGTCGGTGAAGCTTATACAATTCAAGTTAAAGATCAAGTTCAAGATTCATCCGCGAGATTACCAAGAAGAGCTCAATGAAGATCAAGATTGCTTGGGTAATTTAGTTTAGGTTTTATATTATGTGTGTTAAGTACCTTAAGCTCAATATCTATACACACACATTTATTGGTTTCTATGTATATATATAGTTATATATATAATATGCAATTTTGTGAAAATATTGTATTCTTAGTTTGTAGACTTCAATATCAGTTTATACATGTTTTACTAAGTCTACAAAAACATTTCACAAAGTTTCAAAAGTTGGTTTATGTCAAAACATTAAAATTCAAGTATCTCGTATTTTCATGTTTTGGACTATTTTGTAAAATGATGATATTTCTCATTTGGGAAGTCTTTTTAGAAAACCAGTTTTTGTAGCATGTGTATTATCATGTCTACAATCATTCCCCAAAGTTTTACATTTTTTGGAATTTATTTGATATTTTTAAACAGTGTTTTAAAATCAGCTTTGTTTTTCTGGGATGTCAGTTTTCGGTCGACCGGTACGGTCGACCGGTCTAGTGACCATTCGTCAGTATTTTTCCAGAGAGTCATCGGTCGACCGGTCCGGTCGACCGAGAGCTCAAATCGGTCGACCGACAGAATTTCCGGTCGACCGACGTTAGTCCAGAAAGTTTTCTTCGTGTTTTTGCTCTCATCGGTCGACCGACGGGATTTTCGGTCGACCGACAATGTGACCGTTGGACTTCCAACGGCTATTTCTGAGCTGACTTTTCTGGGGCATTTTGGTCTTTCTGTTTTGGGGTTTTGGCTGAGATTTCAAGTGGGTATAAATACCCCATTGCTGTTTTCTTTCAATCTAGCTAAGAGAGTTTTAAAACAAGTTTAAGAAAGTTTTTAATCAAGGGTTTAAGTTTTGTTTAAAAGAGTTTAAGAGTTTGTTTGAGTTTAGTTTGTGAAGCAAATTTCACAAGAGCAAAGAGGAGATCATCCTTTGGTGTTTGGGCATTCAACTCATCTCTCTCTCACTCTTGATCTATAGAGAAGTTTTCCTTAAACTCAATTCTAGCTATTTATTGTTTTGATCTTAATTTCCATAAGCTAGATTTATATATTGAGTTTAATTGTTTTATTGATACTCTTTGTTCACACACAACCTATTGAGCTTATTGTATTTACATTTATAGTATAATTTGGGGTTGTGGGTTTGTGACTAGGAGTTGTGCTTAATTGAGTTCTCACCTTGTTTAGAGAACAAATCATTTGATTTATATTGTGCTTATTGTGAGGATTCACTTGTAATACACTTGTACACCGAGAGAAGTATGTGGTGAGAGACGGGGTCGAATCCAAGAGGAGTGGCGTCAGTTGATGTGCCTAGGGAGAGGTTGTAACCGAGCACTTGAGGAGGAGGACACGGGCTAGGACCAACACTTAGTGTGTGAGGTGTGATTACATAGTGATTGTATTGTGAGGTGTAAACGTTGTTCGGGTGAACGTAGAAAACCCGGTTGTGATAGTGGAGATCTCCTCGAGGTGAGGAGCGGGGACGTAGGTCGTGGGGACCGAACCTCGTAAACATATCGTTTTGTTTGTGATTGCATTGGCGTTCTTATTATTGTTTTCATATCTTATATCGCCTTTGTGTATTGCTCATCATATTACCCTATCACTTGTGTAGATTGTTTATTTTACCCTTGTGTTAGTTTATATATCCTTGCATATATATATTCATCATATAGGATATATCTCATTGTTCATATTGCTTATCCTAGCTTATATTCTTGTAGTATTTCATACTTGCTAGGATAACTTATTAATTAATTTTAATTGGCATAAAATCGGATTAGATTAGCATAAGACCCTAATCACCCCCCTCTAGGGTCTAACAAGTTAGACTCAAATATTACAATAAACACTCTCAAAAATTAAAAATTCATAGCAAACACGTTAAAAATTTCAAAGATACAAACTATAAAATGAAAATTTTATAAATTTGAAATTTTCAAAAAGTACCCTAAAAGTTTAGAAATTGCAAAAAACATCATAGAAGTTTAGAAAAGTGCAGAAAGCACTATAGAAATTAAAATTCACAAGAAAATAGTTGTTTGTAAGTTTTGATCTTTTCAGGGTATTTTCTGTAAAATTTAAACTTTTGAGGGTGTTTTAAAACTTTCAGGGTGTTTTCTATAAATTCCAAAACTTTCAGGGGATGTTTTTAATCCTATATTGTCAATATAATTTTTTTATAGGTTAAAAACTTTTAGGGTGACTTTTGTAATTTTTGAATTTTTAATTGTGTTCTCTGTAATTTTTTAAACTTTTGGGTTGTTTTTTTTTTTGCAAACTTTGAATTGTGCATGAAGCTTTCTATATTTGTCAGATATTTGAGTAGTTTATAAGTTTAATATTTTGCAAGGTTTTTTTTGCAAGTTTGATATTTGAGTGGCAGAGATCATTTTATGTTAAATTTTAACACTTATAAACATTTATACTAAACACAGGAATGTGTTTCCCCCGCTAGCTATTTTGGGGGTAATAATTACCATGTTAAAAGTTTAACCCCAATTGCTTAAACCTCATATCAAACGAGCTGATTATTAAAATGATCCTTTTTTTTATATTAAAATTAGAACGACTAAGTCTTAATATCCGTCGCACGCGTAATAATCTTAGCATGCCTTGGGGATCTAATAGCAATTCCAATTATATGGGAGATTGATTTCAAAATATTAAACTTTTTAAGGGACTTAAACTTTTCACAAGGCCCGTGAATAGCCCATGGGCTACTACTCAGCACTGGAACAACTTTTGGATCCAAATATTTAGCCCAATAAAATCAGGCCCAGGCCTACCTAATCATTTCCTATCAAGAAATAGGAAGAATCGAGAGAGGGGAGTAGATACACAGCCTCTCGCTCTAATAAGTCAATACAAAATGGGGTCTTTTGTCAGATACTTAACATCCTCCTCAGCTCTCCCTTCCGCTGCCGCTGCGATCGCAGTTGCTGCTCTCTCTTCTTCTTCCTCCTCTTCAAACCCTGGATTTCCCTTCAAACCCTACACCCCTTTCCCTGCTTCTCTTCGATCAGCGTCCAATTTCAACTCTTTTGGACCTGTCAAGGGTTCGAGCCGACCGAAGGCAGCTCTGCACATGGATTCTACGGTCGCCGATCAGAAGCCGGCGGTTGAGGTTAGGGTTTCGTGGTGAATCGGATGATTTTTGCTTCTTGTTTTAGTTGTTATTTTTGTCCTGATTGTTTGCTGTTGTTGCTGATGGTGATGCAGCATGTTGGGATTCTGCCTGAGCTCATGGTATGTCAGATTTTCATTTCTTCTGTTGCTTGCTTTCGATATCTTAGCTTCTGGTTCTTATGGAATGTCGTATGTTGTGGTTTGAATCATTGAATAGCGTGAGAAAGATCGTATTTTGATGAGCTAGGTGTTGATTATTAGGTCACTTTTGGAGACCAATGGGTAATCTTCGGGAGCCCTTATTGGTTATTTAGGAAACGGTTTAATTTTTTTTTTTTTTTGCTTCTGGATGACGTGACTTTCTAAGTCATCTTATATCTTGCTTCAGGGGTTCAAAGTGAGTGTGGCTCGTGTACATTGTTGATTTGTTATTTGCAAAAATTTAGTGTTTTGTCGATGGTTACAGTGAAAAAAAATCATGCATTTTCAGGTTGTGTAATCATGGACGCGGTGGTGCTTAGGGTGCAGAGTATTATGATTGTTGTGGATTGAAAGATAAAAGATTGGTTAAGATTATTAGATAGTGGTAAAGTTAAGGATCACTAAGGAAGGAAATGGAGCTGTTTGAAGTTTTGATAGTGATGAATCTGCATGTTGGGCTAGCCCTTAGAGAGATCTCTTGATAAAGGAAGCACTGGGTTAGTGATTGCGCTGATAAAGAATGGAGCTTGTCATTCTTGCGTCTGGTTAGACACATTAGGCAAAGGAACATGTGCAAGACAAAGGGAAATTGAAGTGAACATGGAGCATGTAGACCAATTAGGAGAAGTCCTGGTAGAAGACAAAGACCATGATTTAGAAGGAAAATGTTCTTTCATTAAAGACAACATGCTGCTATGCCATAGAATTTATCGGCACTCAATAAAAATGCATGAGTTGGAGTGGGTGTCAAGTTTATTTGTAGTTTAAGGACATAGCAAAGGGTAACAGCGACAAAGAAGATCATCTGATGAGTATAATTGGGAGATTTACTAAAGAGACCTTAAAAGGATGACTTTAGACTATGTACCAACCACTCATGTGGCAAGCGGTTAATTAAGTAAACAATTCTTTGGAAAAAAACCCCACAAATTAGAGTAGACAGATGCTTGATGTGGCTGGGTTTGTCCTAATTCGACTTTGTGAGGGGTGATCGCAGGTGATTGATAGCATAATAATTTCCACTTGATAAATCCATTCACTTGCAAAAGAAAGCATATTTCCATTATAAGTGTGTGCTTAAGATGTGTTATAGGCTGACACGTTGAAGATAAGCATTCTTATTTCATAATTTTGATTTGTGCAGACAGAATTTATGGTGGATATGAAATGTGAGGGATGTGTCTCAGCAGTGAAGGATAAGTTGCTCAAACTTGATGGTAAGTTTATTTTAGCCACAAGATTTTCAAAGACTTCTATTGTTGCATTGGTTGATTTACTATTTTGTTATAATCTTGCTGCAGTTTATTTATTTTTTACTTTGTATCATGATTTTATGGCCTGATGGTACGTGTTTTTGCTTCAACAGGAGTTAAAAATGTTGAAGTAGACTTGAGCAATCAAGTTGTAAGAGTTCTCGGATCTCTCCCTGTTAAGACCATGGAGGATGCTCTGGAGCAGACTGGTCGAAAAGCTCGATTGATTGGACAGGGCAACCCAAATGGTCAGTTATTAAACTTTTCAATGTGGTACATGCTTGTTAAAGTTTCTCTAAGTCGATGTATTCTCATACATCTCAAAACCGCTAAGTTTGTTGCACCGGTTCTCTCAGATCATCTGGTGGTGTCACAGTTGCTTGCATCGAAATACATTTAAGCAGCATATGTACACGTATTGTCTTTTTTTTCCAGCAAGATGATTGTTCTCAGATGTTAGTATATACTGTAGACCTTTCGAATGAATGGTCTATTTTGTGCATGCAATAACACAGCTTCACTGACCAATTCACTTTGTTCTCAACATCAGTATATGCATCGTCTTGCAAGTTATAAACTCTAATAAGATGTTCTTAGGCATCCTCTATTTAAATTGTTCAAGGCACATGGTTAACCACTCTTAGTTTATGTAAAAGTTGAAGTATTAGAGAAGGATGTGCTAACATATGGGCAATCAATTTCTGTTCCTTGCAACATAATATATAATTATTACCATGTTAATTATTTCGATCATGGAATAACAATTATTTCAAGTGTTACGACAGTCTTTATTTCTTCTTTGTTGTGTCTAAATTTCAAATTTGCATGGAGTGTTCTCTAGATAAATTAGTTTTGATATGTTATTCCTGATCCTGATCATCTTTCATCATCACTTTCACAGAAGATTGCTGGCTTTCTGATTAATCTTTACAAATGCAACTATATTGTGTGAACTGAAAAATACAGTCAGTCATCGTGTCTGCATGCTCAATACCTCCTCGCTTCTGATTAATGATGCAACATTTATCTATTTTCAGGATGTTATACTTAACCTTTTGTTTTGCATCAATTGTTTTTATTTCTTGTTAATGTGGTTAAATAACATGTTTCTTCTTAGTTCGTCATTAGAATCTACCAAGTAATACATCTCATTACCAACTATTAATTTGGAGATAAAAGAGCCAAGCACTTTTATCAAAAGGTGTCTTTTCTTAGACATGTGTTACATATTGTTGTATGCTTACTGTCAAGCATTGATGCGTGAACTTCTTTTATGGATGTAGAAGTCTTCGTCTATTTCTGAGGGATATACTTTTGTATTCTCTGGCTTGATTCAATGCTTAATGCTCCATCATCAAAGTGTAGAATTCTGTACATATTTTGAGAACCAGACAGTGCTTTGTATCATTTGTGTATTGACAATTACTGGGACAAAAAGTTGCAATGTTTTAATCTATCCCATTGTGTGCCTACTCTTTTTATTTCGTTACCTAGAAATATGTTGTATTAACTTTAGACTGGAGAGGGAGATGGGGAGGAGGAAGTCTGTCATGTGAGTCATGTCATAATGAAGAAAAAAGCAGCATGCTACATGTCATTAATTAAAAGAAGACCATGAGGCTGAGAATGTTAAATGGCGCAGGGAGCCTTTCGATCTGAATAGTCAATACTATGAAGTTCTTTTGTTATATGCACCCTTCTGAGCGCAGATCATTAAAGATTTAAAAGAGGAAGGAGGGAGCTTTTTAATCTCAATGCAATGTAGTTTTTTCATATACAGCCTTATACGAGCACAAGTCCATTAAAGATTAACAGGGAGGGAAGAGGGAGGGATGCATGTGACTTGTTTCGTAGTATGAAGAGAAAAAGAAGCATGCCAGACATCATTAATTGAAAGAGAACTTTGTGGCCACCATATTAAATGCTTTTCTGATGAAGCGATCTTCATTAAAGATATAAAATAATTTATAACTTCTCAACAACACTTGCGATTAGCCAAAAAAAGTTTGGTAAATATAAAGCCTTCCATCCATGAGGGTCTAGCCGAGTTGGTAAGTTGCTTATGAGTACTATTCCAAAATCTCAGGTTCGACTCTCTTGGGGTGCACCCATAGGAATTTAATTTCCTAGAATACCCGAGGCCATGCATATATATATATATATATATATATATATATATATATATATATATATATATATATATATATATATATATATATATATATATATATACACACACACACATATACATTTATATTATATATATGTATATATAGTAAATCTCCTGTAAACTTAAGTCGATAGGAGCACTTGTCCACTAAAATTTTTATCCCTTCATTATGCTTTGAGATTTGTGCTACACATTAATGCTATCTTTGAGATTTGTGCTTTCATTTGTATCACATGCTAGCATAAATTTCAATGTAAAATCCATAGATAAAAAATTTGGTGGACAAAAGGCTCCTACCACTAAAGTTTATAGGAATTTTACTCTATACTATCCTGTACAAAGCATGACACCCTATTTTTTAAGCACTGCATTTAGAACTTGTCTCCCCCTAAGTTTTAATACATTTGTTTTAATTATTGTATGCTTAAAATTAAAAATCATATCTACTCTTCTATACTTAAAAAAATATATCCTAGTTTTAATACATTTGATTTAGAAATCATATCTACTTCTCTGTACTTAAAGAAGGATCCAAGTTTTAATATATTTGATTTGCTTTACTGTTTATGATACAGTAGCATAAATAGTAATGAATAAGTATAGAGGAGTGTGTGTGTGTATATACAGAGAGAGAGAGAGAGAGAGAGAGAAGCTAACCAGCCTAACCTTCCTGTTGTTACTTTGTGTCTTTAAAAGTTGAAGTAACTAACTGAGAGAGAGAGAGAGAGAGAGAGAGAGAGAGAGAGGCTAACCAGCTTAACCTTCCTGTTGTTACTTTGTGTCTTTAAAAGTTGAAGTAACTAACTTTGAATACTGTTTTTGCAGACTTTTTAATCTCTGCAGCTGTTGCTGAGTTCAAAGGTCCAGTTATTTTTGGAGTTGTACGGTTAGCTCAAGTGAGCATAGAGTTGACAAGAATTGAAGCAAGCTTTAGTGGATTGTCTCCTGGTAAACATGGATGGTCCATAAATGAATTTGGTGACTTGACTAGAGGACCTGAAAGCACTGGGAAAGTGTATAACCCAGCAAACGTATCTTCCGAAAAGGTAAATTGAGTTCTATAATTCTTTTAATTTTAGCAGTGTTTTTTTTGTTTTCCTTCTATGTCTTGTCATTGAGTTCAGTGTTCTGGTGATTGACTATGAGCACTTTTTTTTTCCTTCAGAAAAATTAGTGGATGAGGAAAACTTGTCGCATTTTATTTAGACATTAGCTGTATGTACATACACACTATAAAATTAGTATAGTAGAGAAACATATGAGTTTTGGATGAAAAATAAAAAGCATTACTAGAAGGTCTATGCAGCGAATAAACAATAAAGGTCGGGCAGCATTGAAGAAGGAAGGGATCTATGCTTCTATTTTCACCCACGCCGAAAAAGAAGGATCGATAACCTGACGTACTGCCAAGGCTGAACTGACTTTGATAGATAATCAGTTTTTAACTGATTTTGATTTAAGATTGAAAACTAATAATTCAAAGCTATAAGCTAATCCGATATTATGTTAAGGCACCTAAGAGAGTTCTCTTGGGATTAGCGGTTGGAGTTCGACTTTGTGTGTCTTAGTTGTCCTTTCACAAGGCCATATATAGTCATTGCGAATGGGATAGGCGATCCAGGTTTACTTATTTAATCAGACCTATTCGGGTTATTTTTTATATGCAGTTCCCAAAGGGGAATTCCTTGAAGGTATGACTTCCTTTGGCCAAGAGAGCAAGGGCTAGGTTTCGGGCTATCAAGGCTTGCTTCTTCTAGTTTTTCTTCTTCGGCATGGGTAATAGAGCAAGGCGCTGTTAAGCGTCATTCTCTACATCCTGAAAGCACCACTTTCCCTATAGAGAGTGAGTGGTCCACGGGTGTGGGGCACAAAGGATGTAAGTCCCTACGCGTATGCTTCTAACAGGAAAAGAAATATCATACATGAGATGAGGTTTTTTTTGTATCTACTTCTCCTGTACGGAGAGGAGGTTCACTTTCTCATCTCGAAGCAGCAAATCCTGGTCCCTTAACAGACTTATAAATATCTAAGCTTGAAGCTGCGGACTCATCTATTTCTAATAGCAACTTGGAGAAGAGAAAGCTGAAATTGATCTTATTGAGAAATCGATGTCTGTACTCCATAGATTCGAGGGCACAAGAGAACAATAGCCTGATAAATATTTGATTCGGTTCGATTCGAGTGTGAATTCAGGTGCCAAATCAAATAGAACCCGCCATTTAATTGAAAGTTGATAAGGTAAATACCCAGTCCATTCACATTCAATGCTAGGCATAATGAGCATAAGGGCCTCAAAATAACTTCTTTTCGTCCTATGAACTTTAAGGTGTATGAAGTATAGTCTAATATTTGACTCTTGGAGCGGAGTGATAGAGACTCCATTACTCTTGTGTAGTGGGTGAAGAAAAGAAGAGCCAGGGGCGGTTATGCACAAGGCCTGCTTGATAATATCTTGCACTGGATTGAGAGACTTGTTGGTTTTAACCAACCACCCATCTCCTCTTGTTCGAGACCCAGCATAAGCAATCCTTCAACCTTTTTCATATAGGTGAGAATTCACACGCTTGTACCTGAGAGCCCTCAGACATGACAAGGTCCTCATTGAGGGAATACTTTGCTCAAACAACTTCCGCCCAGATAGACGAGGGTTGGGACAGTGCTTTGCCTAGGTTCTTCGCCAACAAATACGTGCACCAAGGCTCGAGGCAACGAAAACCCAGCCCACCCCTACTCGCCCTTTTTTTATAAGGCTTTTGCATTTGGCTAAGAAAACACGTCAGTCAGTGCCTTAGCCTTATAACTGGGCAGACCTGTTCGTGCTAAAGGCGAGTTACTCCTTTAACAGTCGAGGGAGTATCACATACACGCATCCGCGAGTCGTGCACATGAAATACCCACATCTGGCTCGATCATTTCAAGCTAGACTTCTTTTTACACCATCAACGTTCTTTAGTTCTAAAGTTGTTAGCTACTCATAAATTAAAATGTAGCTTATAGGTCTACTATTTATATTCAGACACACAACAATATGATTCCATCCTAGACACTTAATTGTCATAATAGAAATTTATTGCATGCAATATTTTAGTAGAAAGCGACTAATATTTCAGGCCGGAGAGTTCTTCCTCCTCCTTTAGTTAATTGTTGAGAGTTCTATTGTAACCTGTATATATTCAAGGGTAAATTGTAGATAGGTCCCTTGTACTAGTGCGCAGTTGTGAATAGATCCATGTGGTTCTATTGTTGCAGAGCGTCCCACTGAGTGAGCTTTTATTTGACTCCTTTACCCTTAGTGAAAGAGAATACTATTTTTTGAGAAATAGACCTCCTGAGGGTAAAATAGTTTAAAAAATATCACTCGGGGGATCTATTTGCAATAGGGCGATGCAATTGGATGGTAGTACAGGGCGTCTATCCGCAACAATAGAAATACAAGGGGTCTATCCGCAACTGGGCGCTAGTACATGGGGTCTGTCAGCAACATGTTATTAGTTTTCAGCCATTATTCTTTTTCATACAACTCGAAGTTGCTGGATCTCAATTGATGCATTTCCAAACTAAACATTCTTTAAATTTATTTTAACAGCCAATTGGTGACCTGGGAACATTAGAAGCTCTGGAGAATGGGGAAGCCCAGTTCTCCGGTGCTAAACAGATGCTTAGAGTTGCGGACCTCATCGGCCGTTCCATTGTGGTTTATGATACCGAAGATAAATCAGATTCCGGTATTTCAGCAGCAGTCATTGCGAGAAGTGCAGGAGTTGGCGAGAACTACAAGAAGTTATGCACTTGTGATGGTGTAACAATATGGGAATCGAGTTAAGCTTTTGTTCGACCTTCGTTGTATCTTGTAAGTGATGCTAGAGAGTTTTGGATTGTAGAAGTAAATAAGGAAAATGAACCTTTGGATTGTAAAAGTAAATCAGGAAAATAAAACTCAGTGGAGAATAATTCTATTTATTTTTTATTGAAGCATCCTAGCTCAGGTAACAGCTCATCACTATTCTGGATTTTGTGGACGTATACGAACTCGATTCCGTGGACATACATGCGCCTGTTTATGCTATTTTACTTTTGTAGAGGGGTTCAAGATTCTCTCTTGACACAATGACTCCAGCCTTTGGCATACTATGGAACAATCTATCACCAAGTTAATTCTCCTAATGCTGGCAAGAGCTGCCTTAGCTTCGTGGGAGTCTGGTAGCTTGCAACTAAAGTCGTTGTAACTACAATTGCGTGCCACTGAGTCATTTACAACTATTTGTTTCGTTGCAACTCATTGTCGTAAGTATAATCACAAATGCCCATTAGTTGCGTTCAAAGTGGCTGCAAAGTCCACTAGTCCAAATTTATAAGAAAACAAAATCATTATTTAATATTTCAAAAAATCTAAGAGATTCATTAAAGATTTTAAAATGTTTTTAAAAATATTATCTTATTTAAAAGAAGAAATTTGTTTTAAAATATTTTCCCCTAAATTTTCTTAAAAACAATGCCTTTTGAGAAATGATTTTTTTTGAAAATACTATTATTTGGAAAAATATAATATTTTTTAAAAAATATTTGTTTTTTGAAAAGCTATTACCTTTTTGAAATAAATATTGTTTTTTGAAAAATTATTTTTTGAAAATGTTATTTTTTTTCATTAGATATTTTCCCCCTAAATAATATTGTTTTGATGACAATATTATTTTTCAAAAAATAATAATACTTTTCTTAAAATATTTTATTTAAAAAAGTTTACAAAGTATATTATATTTTGTAAAAGTTTATGGTTTAAAATTATTTTATAAAAATTTAAGAAAAGTTATTTTAGAAAAAAAATATTTTACCAAAATATTAATACTATTTTAAAAGTGTAAAAATAATTATAATTTTATCAATTTATTAAACTAAAAAAACGAGCTGGATATGTAAAGTTATAAGCAAAAGCAAGCAACTGCAACTACAAGTTGTAAGGGCTTATTTGACAACATATTCACTAGCTTAGATAAGGGCATTAACTTATGTAAGTTCTTAACATATGTTTGACAAAAGCTTGTACAAGATTGGAGTCATTGGACCAGTCTCTTTTAATTCAAAAAAGAGGCCCTTATATAGGTTACCTTTGGACCACCCCACATTGGTTCAATTCTAACACGGTTAATGCCTTTATTGAATTAGGGTGAACACATCAATAGTCGCGAATGTAGTTACATATAAGAATAGTTGCAATGTTTCAGCTATTTGTAAGTGACTATGACATTACAACTATAATTACAAGCTACTGTAGTGACACTCATATGCAATAACAGTTCTGAATGTTGCTGTGTACCATAGATTCGAAATTTTGGGGATTGGGACCAAAGAACGATGTGCAATCACAATTGCATGTTTGCTTCTAATCGCAATTTTCTCAGTAAGGATCGAGAGTCCCTTCTAGCTACAGTTTTCAGATTCATATTTCCATCAAAATAGACAAAAGATACAACTAGCCGGAAGATTTGGACCGATGGAGCTAGCGCAAACAGCAGTAATTCAAGAGGACACATTGGTGATACCAATCATGATATCCTTACAATCTTTCGGGAACATAATTAATATCTTTACCACTGTCAGTTACATAAAGCACAACATATGTACACCAGCATTTTACTTTCCAATGTGGCGTAGCACGGAAGTGATAACTTCGAAATCTACTAAGGTGTGTTCTTTGAGTCCACAAAAACCGATCTCCAAATCCACGTAGAACTTCGAATCCACAAAGAAAATATTAAAAAAAAATTTATTGATGAAAAATTATGTCTCTAGGGCTTACAATACTCTACTTAAATAGAAAATAAACAAAACTCATACTATGACTCAAACTTTACCAAAAATAGAAATAACAAAACTCTTCCTAAAAGACTCCCTAGGATTAAGGAAGTAAATCGGTCAAATTTGAAATCAAACCGGATTTGCTTTCTAATCAAAACAGGCTCCTCAAACATTATCTAAAATAGTAAAAACTAACAAAAACGCTGATATCTCTCAATTCGGAGGGAATTTGGCAAAACGGACGGCGGAAAACCAAACATCTGTGGGTTTAGTTGACTCTGTCTCGAAGAAATACACGATTTACATATATAATTCGTCTAATTCCGACTTATGGTTTGAGAGATACGACCCGTTCTTTGTTGCAAGTTATTTTCCTTAACCGGGTCTGCGTTTGGGCTTGTGTCAGTCATGCTTCTCCATAAATATATCTGAAGTGTGTTCTACATCACAATGGCACTGTGAACAAGAGAGGACAAGGGATGAGGGGGACAAGAGATGGTGGATATCCCATGCCAACCATGCTCCTTATGCCCATTGCCTATGCCCATTGCCCATGCTCTCTTGTCAATGCCCATGCTCACTCATGCTCTCTTGTCCCCTCTTCTTTGCCTATAAATAGAAGGGAAGAAGAGAGGAGAATGTGTGGGGAAAATCTTGAGTGAGTGTGAGAAATTTGAGAGGAAGTGAGAAGAGAGAACTTGTGGGTTGTTCTACAAGTTTGGTATTCTCCTCATAGTGAAATCCCTTCTCGTGGACGTAGAAAAGTTTGTCGAACCACGTAAATCTTGTGTCTTAACAGTGAGTTGGTTTTGTTTGTAGGTTCCCTCGACAAGTTAGTCCTAAAACTGATAAGAGGTTGATCTTGAACAAGAGTTGGCTATTGCTTGTAGGTTCCCTCGACATTCAGTCCTAAAACTGCTGAGAGGAAGAGTGTATACCTCACTTTGTTGAGTATTTCACTTTCTATTCTTGTTTCCTTAGAGAAAGAGGATTATAGAGGTTGACTTGAGCTTTTTGTGAAAACAAAAGTTAGGGCTCTCTCTTAGGTGATATCGCTTCCGTAACGTGAGGGCGTGACTCTGCGCCCAACAATTGGTATCGGAGCCCTTGATCAGATTGGTGGTGGAAGAACTTCCTATTTGAGGTGGTGTTTGGTTACTGTGTGGTAAAACACAAGGTATTTGTTGAAATTCCTGAGAGAAGCATTTTTATTAATACAAGCAAAGAATGACGTCTACAAGTAAAACAGTTAAAGTTAGAAAATATGAGATTGAAAAATCAATGGGAAGAATGATTTTTTCTATTGGAGGATGCAGATGAAAAATTCGTTGCTTTCACAGAAATTGCACAAAGCTTTGGCGGGAAAATAGAAGAAGCACAAGGATATGTCTGATGAGGATTGGGAGGAGCTGGATCTGGAAGCACGTGCGTCGATTATCCTTTGTCTTGAAAGGGGTGTAGCTTTCTTGGTAGATGGAGAGGAAACGGCTGTGGGCGTGTGGTTGAAGTTAGAAAGCACCTTCATGACGAAGAGTCTAACGAACCGGATCTATTTAAAATCCAATTTATATATTTGCAAGATGGAGGGGGGCTCGTCAATCCGGGAGTACATCAACAAGTTTGATAGGATCTTATCGGATTTGAAAGACATTGAGGTGACAGTGGAAGATGAGGATCAGATACTTCTACTACTTCTATCTCTGCCGAAGTCTTATGAGAATCTGGTTCAAACACTGATGCTTGTAGGTGATAGTTTGTCGATGGATGAGACTAGAACTGCGCTTCTAGCGGATGATCTTTGAAAAATTGCAACTAGTGATATGGCAAAACAGTTTCCCAAACGAATCAGGAAACTGAAAATCTCGACATCGGTCGACCAGACCAAGGGCTTCGGTCGACCGACCAGAGAGTCAATTTTACAGGGTCTGCTCGTGCACATTTTCGGTCGACCGGAGTCCCCGTGTCGGTCGACCGACCAGAACGTTTATTTTCTACAGGGTTTTTCGGTCAACCGGACCATCCTTGTCTGTCGACCGGCCAGAGCGAGCTTCTCACGCTCGTTTCCTGCAGTCGCTTCGGCGCTTCGGTCGACCGGACCAAGCCTGTCGGTCGACCGAACTAGGTTTTTCCAGTTTTTTCGTTGATTTGATTTCAAGTTTGTTCTACACTCTCGAGACTAACACTATGAGCAAGTTCCATGATAATATCAATCACCCGAAAATTTGAGTGAGTGATATCTAAAAGCCCAATTAACTAACTATGTTCTGAAGCGCTAAATACCAATTTCAATATATTAGCATTTAAGGGACCAGTATCAAAGCAACCCTATAGAATTTTTTTTCCCATGGCGTCTTTGACACAGACGGGAATCGAACCCACGCCCCGTATGAGGGAACAACCCTGTAGAGTTTTAAAGATTCAGAATTGAGTTCACATTATTGTTACCTTTCCATAGTTTGCGAAGCTGGTTCTGCTCAACATTGACGGGATCGACAGTGCACAACCGGAAGGTCTTGTATTCGATCGAGACATCGGTCAAGAAATCGTGCAACCTGTGGAAATTTAGCAACTGGTCGAAGAAGGTGCCGGCGATTGAAGGGTAATTTAGCTTCTTTTCTCTCAGCCATGGCTTGATCAGTGTGAGCAAGCAGAGAGTTGCAATCAGGAGGAATGTGAGATGCTGATAACGCTAGCATTTCCATCAGTTGGACTTGCAAGAGGGGATGAGGTTGGAGGTTTGGAATTTCGACGGCATGTTTAATTGATAGATGGGAATGATTTGTCTGTGAACGACGGTGGTGCAAGGCCAAAGTTGCTAGAGACCCTGCAAGTGAATTCTCATATACATTAGACGACCCAATGCAAATGAATTTTTTTAGGGAAAATCTTCTTTTAACCCAAAGTTTTACTCCAACTTATTTTTAAACCCACCTACTTTCATTATGATCCATACACCCAAAGTACAACACCCACTTATTTATAAACCCAAAGTATCAAATATATCATATTTATATACTGTATACAAAAAATAAAAGATAAATCCTAAAATTACCGTTGTTGTTCTTCTTCTTCTTCCCTAATAACTACCCATGGCTCAACTCTCTCTTTCTAATTATCTCCATCTTTCTAGTTCTCCTCCCACTAAAAAAAACCCTAAAAATTCAAGGGTTTTGATCTCTTGCAATGACGTCCAATGTCAAC